ATCTGATGTTTTTCTCATCCTCAATATCTAGGAAAAAGTTTAGCAGAGTAGATATTATGTTAAACTGATAAGTAAAAGCTAAAAATATAAATTACAAAGCAGAGATTAGGCTTTAAAAAATTTGTTAAAAGATAACCCAAACTGAATCACTAGAAACAAGAGGAAATCTAAGTTAGATAAGAATATCTTCAGAATATAAAGACATCTAATAAATTTTTTTTTAAAAAACTAACTGAAGTTAAAAGCCCAACAGGAAAATGCATAAAACATGACAGGCACTGCAGAAAAATCCTGCCACAAAACAGCAAATAATATTTCATCCAAGGATGAACTACATACAAGACAGCAGTTGCAAGATTAAAAAGGGGCTCCAAACCACTTCTCCCTAATGATACTGTAGCCGTCCCAACATCACGGCACAAGAGATCTGTGTATTTGTGGTGATGCTGGCTTAAGGTTACTGTGTTATGAGTCACACAATACTATTCTTAGAGTGATAGACAGCATGTACAGTTAGGTACAGTACATGAAACTGTAATAATGATAAATGATTGTTACTGGTTTATATGTTTACTTTTATAGTTCGGGTAGACTTTATATTTCATAAAGATAGGAACCAACAGCCTACCACTTAGGACAGTGCTGAGGGCAGCCACATCGCATCAGAATGTGGTTGTCTGTCCTGGCTCTGCCTGCTTCCTGCTGGGACACCCCTGGAAGCAGGTGACTGTTGAAGTCCCTGTTCCCTGCTAGCCACCCATGAGACATGGGTTCCTGACCACTCCCTCTCAGCTTTAGCTGGAATGGGCATTCAGGCGATAAAAGGACAAGAGCTCCATCACTCTTTCAGATAATACAAATTTTAAGTTTATTGTGCATTAGTATGCCACGGTATTCAGCAGCAGTTTCATAATCTCATCTCTTCATCAACAGGCCTCACTGATGACTTTTCACCATGTATGTCTGAATAAGTAATTTCAATTTTCATGCAATGAAATTGCCTAACAACCCATTTCTCACAACATATCCTGAACTGGCTACTAAATATATGAAATACAGTAAAAAATTAATAATGTACTGACTTGAATGGCTGCCATTCAAGTTACAACTTCACAATCTTACAACTATAATTACAATCAGTTTTGACAGAAAAATACAGTATGGTCAATATAAAATGATAAGTAAAAGTTAACATTTAGATATATGCGATTAAGCTATATAATACATTTTTTAAAATACTTTTTTTTAGGAGCTGGCATCACAGTGTAGTAGGTTAAGCCTCTACCTTTGGTGCTACATCCCATATGGGCACCAGTTTGGATCCAGGAGCTATATGTCCAATCTAGCTCCATAGACTGAAAGGGATGAATATGATAAAATAAGAGTAAAAGTAGGATTGAAAGGGATTGATATAGATGAAAAAAAAAGTGGACCTAAATAATTTTTAAAGATTTATTCATTTTTATTGGAAAGACAGATAGTCCACAAGCAGGGAGCTAGAAAGGAAGTGGAGCAGCTGGGACACAAACCGGCACCAGTGTGGGATCCCAGTGCATGCAATGTGAGGATTTTGCCACTGAGCCATCGTGCTAGCCCACCCTAAAATATTACTATTATCTGGAGCCATAAAAAAGTAACTCCAGCCATTAAGGCCAATTCGGGGGTGAACCAACAGATGGCAGATATCTGTCTTTCCCTCTCTCAGCTAATCGGCCTTTGAAAAAAAGTGAATGAATCTTTAAAATAAGCATTTTTTGAAGTATATTAGTCCAAAATGAGGGATAACAGTTCCTTTGGGGGAAAGGAGCACAGCTGGACAGAGATGATGCAAGGCAGGCTTCAAGACACTGATGGCATTCTATCATTTTAAGATGAATGAGTTCTTAATTTTAAATTTTACTTCTTTCATATCTTACTTTTAATTTCATATTGTTTACATTTTCCTATTTACAAATGGTATTCTACATATATTTTATACTTTATTATTTAAATCATGTATTCATTATGCACGTCTTCCAGACACATATACATGCACGTGTATTTCATAATAACAACATTCAGTTACTAAAGCTGAAAACATTTCAGAAGCTAAACATACCGTCAATCACTGGGCATTCATCATCCTTGGGGTCCTGAAGTCGTGAGAGAGCCAAAACTGCCTGTATTCTCACGTTTGGAATCTTATCCTTTATTCTGACAAGCATGGTTTCGTTAATTTTATCAAACAAACAATCATCAATCTGGGCATTTTCTGGCATATTCCCCAAAAGCTTGTTTATGAGCTGGCACACTCTAAATCTTACTGCATTGCTATTTGCTTCATGAGACTAAAACGGAAAAAAAAAACAAAAATATATTTAAGTCACAGACCATCCCTAAATAATACAGATAATTTGAATTTTCTATCTTAAAATTTTAGAATTTACAACAGTAGCTCATTCTTTGCAGAAACTGCTTATTGGTAAAATGCTAGTAAATATGCTTTCTAAAACAGTCTCAAGCAGTCTGTAATATCTCCTGCAAGAAAAATACTGCTTTTGTAGGAACTCTAATTTCTAATATAAAAACCTCATTGAAAACAAACATGTGAAAACGGTTGGAGAGGTCTTGAAAACCCAATGCTTAAATAATTTTTTAAAAAGTCATGTTTTAGGGCCCGGCGCGGTGGCGCAAGTGGTTAAGGTCCTCGCCTTGCATGCCCAGGATCCCATATGGACACAAGTTCTATCCCGGCAGCCCAGCTTCCCTTCCAGCTCCCTGCCTGTGGCCTGGGAAAGCAGTCGAGGACGGCCCAAAGCTTTGGGACCCTGCACCCGCGTGGGAGACCCGGAAGAGGCTCCTGGCTTTGGACCGGCATAGCACCGGCAGTTGCGCTCACTTGGGGAGTGAATCATCGGATGGAAGATCTTCCTCTCTGTCTCTCCTCTCTGAATATCCGCCTTTCCAATAAAAAAATAATAAAAATAAATTTTTTTAAAAAGTCATGTTTTAAGCTTAATGAGTCATAACATTTCTTACAAAAGATACCCTGATGTTTTCTCAATCACTTGATGGATACATTTCACTTTCTGCTCATTGCATGTTTGTATTATATACTGCATCCAAACTTCACAGCAAAACTTTCCATAGCACTTTTCCAAGGGGCTGGTTTCCAACATACCTCTAGGAGAAAAGTAAATAAATGCTTTAAAATGCCACGGTCGTCCTCTTCCTCATCATCTTCCACATGGTCGTCCTCTTCCTCATCATCTTCCACATCGGATTGGTGAAAAGAAGTAACAAACTTTGCAGCAAAGTCTATTATTCTCTCCACAGCTGGCTCGCGTTTATAGATTATCATGGCATATTTAAGGTACTGGATGAACTCCTTATGGAAAACGGTTTTATCGCTCATCTGGAGGAAGAACGAAGGCTTTCAGGAAGCGCGCCTTCCTCCCAGCGCGCCGCTCACCCACGGGACGCCACCTGCACCCTCCGAGCCCGGGACCGCCCGCCTCGGGCTGCCAGATCCTGTCCTCCACACCTCCACGCTCCCACTCCCGCCGCCCCGGGGCCAGTGGGCTCCGACGGCTGCACGCAGCCTGGCAGGACCCCGCAGGACCCCGGCAGGGCGGCGGAGGGCGCGGGCCAGCGCCCACCCCCGGCCCCGAGCGGGGCTGACGACGGGCTGAGGATCGGGCTGAGAACGGGCTGAGGATGGACTGAGGACCGGGCTGAGGAAAGGGTGAGGACGGGCTGAGGACGGGCTGAGGACCGGGCTGAGGACGGGCTGAGGACAGGGTGAGGACAGGGTGAGGACGGGCTGACGACAGGCTGAGGACAGGGTGAGGACGGGCTGAGGACAGGGTGAGGAAAGGGTGAGGACAGGCTGAGGACGGGCTGAGGATCGGGTGAGGACAGGCTGAGGACAGGGTGAGGACCACGCTGAGGACAGGCTGAGGACCGGGCTGAGGAAAGGCTGAGGACAGGGTGAGGACGGGCTGAGGACAGGGTGAGGACAGGGTGAGGACAGGGTGAGGACGGGCTGAGGACAGGGTGAGGACAGGCTGAGGACAGGGTGAGGACAGGCTGAGGACGGGCTGAGGACAGGCTGAGGACAGGGTGAGGACAGGCTGAGGACGGGCTGAGGACAGGGTGAGGACGGGCTGAGGACAGGGTGAGGACGGGCTGAGGACAGGGTGAGGACCACGCTGAGGACAGGCTGAGGACCGGGCTGAGGAAAGGCTGAGGACAGGGTGAGGACGGGCTGAGGACAGGGTGAGGACAGGGTGAGGACAGGCTGAGGACGGGCTGAGGACAGGGTGAGGACAGGCTGAGGACAGGGTGAGGACAGGCTGAGGACGGGCTGAGGACAGGCTGAGGACAGGGTGAGGACAGGCTGAGGACGGGCTGAGGACAGGGTGAGGACGGGCTGAGGACAGGGTGAGGACGGGCTGAGGACAGGGTGAGGACAGGCTGAGGACAGGGTGAGGACAGGGTGAGGACAGGCTGAGGACAGGGTGAGGACAGGGTGAAGACGGGCTGAGGACCGGGCTGAGGACGGGCTGAGGACGGGCTGACGACGGGCTGAGGACAGGGTGAGGACAGGGTGAAGACGGGCTGAGGACCGGGCTGAGGACGGGCTGAGGACGGGCTGAGGACGGGCTGAGGACAGGGTGAGGACCGAGCTGAGGACTGGGCTGAGGACGGGCTGAGGACAGGGTGGTCACGCTCCCGCAGGCGGAAGGGGCGGATGGCGGGGCGCCAAGCCCCGAGGACGGCGGCCCAGGCCCGCGCTCACCGTGCTGTAGGTGCGGCTCAGCGCCACCACCAGCTTCGCCTGGTTCTGGTGCGGCTGCTGGGCCAGCTGGAAGGCCTCCTTGACCGTCAGCAACCTCTTTTCCGCGCCCATGATGAGGAGACGCCACAGCCGACGATACCGAACGTTCAGGATCCTCTTCCACAACAACCAGGCGGAGGGGCGTGGCTACCCGCCAGAATGTTCAAATAACTCTCGCGAGAGGAGGAGATACCGCGAGACCTCCGCGCGCGCGCGGTGCGGGAAGGGTCCCGCCTCCCCTCAGAGCCACTCCCCCGCGCCCCACGCTCCGGCAGGGCGCATGCGCGCGGGGTGTTTCCCGGTGGAAAGTGGCGTCTCTGTGGCCAGGGGGTCGTCGACTCGGCCGGAAGTGGTCTCGTCGGGGAAGAGGTAGCGGAGCGGCCGGGTGCCTTCCGGGGACCGGGCTGGGGGCGCCGGGCCTGGCGGGGTCGCGCGTGCGGCCGTGAGGCGAAGGCTCCGCCACGGGTGAGAACAGGGAATTTGCTGAGAACCGTCTCGGGTTCCGGGAGGGGAAGGGAGACGGGGCGTCGGGAAGGGCAGGACGGCCGCAGGCTGCTCCGAGGGGAGACTCCCGGGTGAGCTGAGAGGGGCGCGCCAAGGGGGCGACGGATGAGACCGAGTCCTGTTCAGGGGCCACAGGACAAAACTACCCCCCAAAACATGACAGCAGGAGACGAGACCGTGCCTCCCCAGAACTCACTGCTTGGGCCTGTTTTAACCTGTTGAAGAAACTGCAAACACTGGGGGAGCTCCGCCACGCTGGCTTCTTGTAAAAGAGGCTGCATCTGTAAAGGAAATTTAGGTTCGTGAACTTTGTCTAGAAGAGCACGTCTTCCAGGCGCCTTTTCGGTTGTCTGCTAGACCTTGCCTGTGTTGCCCCTCTGCTGACCTGCGGCAACAGCTTCCTCCGTACCCCAGAAACCCACAGTTACTTTTTTTCCCCCATTTTGTTCTATTTTACGTAGACTGGGCCGTTAGCCCCGCCGTTTCTCCCCCTCCTGCAGCTCACTGCAGAGCCACCGCCCCCCGAACTGAACCTTGCAAAGCCGCCTGTGCCCCTTGCTCCTCCCGAGGACCCTTCCCTCTCCAAAAGCAGCAGAGTTTCAGATTTTGCCGCTTTATGTGTTAAGAGAGCGCTTTATGTATGAAGGACATATGGGTAAATTAATGAATGAACGTTTGAGTCAGGTGTGCTTTAGCTATTGTGTAACTCTTGGATAAGTAAGCGTATTTTGCATGGATTTTTCCAATCAGTACTAGTTTTAAGGTTTGTTCATTCTGTGAACCATAGTAACTTCCCTCCCTTGAGAGTTATCATGTGGCAGAATAAGCACATTATTTAATCCTTTCAAATAACTCCAATAAAGAAACAGCAGTCAGGAGCCAGTGTTGTGGCATGGCGGTTAAGCCACCACCTGCCTGCATCGCTGGCTGGAATCTGCTACAGGCTGTGGTTTGAGACCCAGCTTTTTTCCCCTCTCTCCAGCTCTCTGCTGCTGTGCCTTGAAAGCAGAGGCAGCTGGCCCACGGGCTTGAGCCTCAGCACCCTGGCTGATGCCTGGCACAGCCACCGCCCTTGTGGCTATTCGGTGAGTGAACCAGCAGCTGGAACCTTCTCCTCCCACCCCACCTCTCTCCCATTCTGTATTTTCCTTTGCAACTCTTCTTTTCAAAAAAAGTTTTAAAATAAATGTTAATAATCTTTTTAAGCAGAACTGAGGTGCAGGCAGGTTGCTATTGTATTTGGTTGTACATTATTTGCTCACCCACTTTCCTGCTTCTTTATAGCCCCAGTTTTTGAAACTTTGTAGGAATTTAAATTTAAAGTCATGAATATGGTAGCATTTGGGTTGCCTATAATTTTGAAATTATTGAGATGTCTTCGTTTCTGAAAGGACGTGGTGCGTATTTCAGGTTAATCAGAGCAAAACCATAGAGGCTAAAAAATGCAGGGACTACAGTGGTAACCCTCATGGTCTTACCTGCACTGAGTTGTAGACAGCCAGGAAGCCATGGTGAAACAGAAACCTAGAAAGCGTATTCATGTGTAAGTACATATGTCCAGACTGCTGTATCCACAGGTAATAAGAATTCTCTAAGTGGCAGAAAGAGAAATCAAGATTGAGGTCACATCCACTGGTTCACTTCCCAGGGGCCCATGATGCCCAGGGCTGACCTGAGCTGGGCTGGGAGCAAGTCCTAGCATGTGTCGGCGGGACAGGAGCCCAGCGGCTCAGTCCCTCGGCCTTCCAGCGTCTGTGTTAGCTTTGCAGCTGAAGTCAAGAACTGGAGTTGAGAATTGAAGTCCAGGTTTGGGAGGTACTCATCTGCACCATGAGGTTAAGTGCCTACTCCCACTAATATGAGTGACTAGTAGGATAACTTTCATTCTTGTTTATCTTACTGAGCCTAAGAAATTGGATATTATTTAAGGCCAGCCCATGCCAAGGACTACTCACGCTTGTGGCTATTACATTGGGCAGCATAGAACTATTCTGTCATTTGCTCTTAATATAAGGGCAATTAGGAAACTAAAAATTAGAACAAATTAATACTCAGTAACAATTGTCTTACTTTGATGCACTTAATTTCGCAGGTTTGGCTGCCTGCCACCTTTGTTTGCAGGCTCATATTCCTTTACTGTATTTTGTTGACTATCTCATCCACCAGTGAGTTTATACTGTTCTGTCAGTTACTGGCCACTAGAGGTCAGTCCAACCATATTTGACTAAGTTTTCAGTTTGATTTTTAAAACTTGGTATCTGGAAATTGAAGGTATAACAATGATAGACTTGATGTTATATCTGTGGGATTTACATGTGTCTTCAAATGGACTTTGTCTAACAGCTATTTAAAAAGTAGAGTGAACCTTTTTGAAAATGTTCAGAATAGCATACTAACTGAAATATCAGTTATTCTTGTAGGTGTAATCTGGTTGAAAAGGAAACAACTAGAAAATAAGTGGACAGAGTAAAATATAGACAGAATAATTAAAGTGAAAGCTTCTCATCAGAGTTAGTAATACTTTTGTGCTTCTGTTTCTACTTGGAAGATGAAGTTAAACTCAAACATTAGGGAAAATATATGAAAATTGCTCAAAAACCTAAAATAAAACTGCCAATCCACTACTAGATACATAGTTGTCAGATGTCTGTACTCCCATGTTTATTGCAGCACAATTCACAATTGCCAAGGTATGAAAACAACCTGAGTGTTGACCCACTGATGAATGGATACAGAAGTCTAATGGAGTGCCATTTAGCCATTAAGAAGCTGTGAAACCTGGTCATTCACAGCAGCATGTGTGGGACTGTGGAGTCTCAAAAAATAGTAATAATAAGTAAAAACAAACCCCAAAAAAGTGATCTCATAGAAGCTAAAATGATAATAGTGTTTACCAGAGACTGGATAGGGAAGCAGGAAGAAAGGGTTGTGGAAAGGATAAGTAACAAAAACTAAGTTATAGCTACATGGAAGTAATAAGTTTTACAGGATCTACTAGGTAATGTTAACACATTGTGTATTTTGCTACTCTGAAAAGCTAGAAGATGGAATTTTGGATGTTTTCACAATAAGAAAATGTTGGATATTTGAAGATAGAGCTACTAGACATTGCTGTTATTTGGCAATGCACATATGTGGCAAACTTCAAATGGTACTTCACAAATATGCTTAATTTTTACGTGGTAAAAACATTTGTTGAAAATTTTCAAGAATACAGAATACCCCTAAGTGGACACAAACCATTTTAAAATTTTTTTGTTTTTCTCAAGGATATGTTACCTTGACTGACAAAAGCTGAGAAGATTCTAGAGCACATATTTTTGTCTAAATGAAGATTAAAATGGGAAGTGACATAGTGATACAGTAGGTTAAGCCATTGGCTGCCATGCTGGTGTTCCATATGGGTGGCAGTTTAAGTCCCTGATGCTCTCTTTCAGTCCACCCTGTTTGTGTGTCCAGGGAAGCAGCAGAGGATGAGCCTTTGCTACCCACATGGTAGACCTGAATGGAATTCAGGGTCCTGGCTTTGTCCTGGCACAGTCCCAGCTGCTACGGCAATTTGGGGCGTGAACTAGCAGATGGAAGATCGCTGTTTCTGTACATCTCTCCCCCTCTGTAACTCTGCCTTCCAAATAAATAAGATAAATCTTTTTCAAAACATTAAAAAGAATGAAGAGTTTTCATTCTGCTTACATTGATTTAACAGTCTGCATTTTTTATAGAAAGGTGTGTAAAAAATTTACTTAAATGGGCTTCTAATTGGTTCTACCACATTTGACATATTCATTTTTCCAGTGATAGAAATGTAGAATGTTTCTAAGAACTCCTTATCCCAGAGGACAGTTCAGAGGTTACCCTCATACATGTTCATGTCACACAGAATCTCTTTGCTCCATACATCCAGGCTAGATTGCTGGCTCATGAGTTCATGAAATGCACGAATTACCAGTCTGGCTAAGTAGTATGTTCAGATTGCTCTTCAGAATAATGTCGCTAGTATCTAATTCCATTTCACCCACAGTGCCAGTACCTGAAGAGAGCACATGGACAGTTATCAGTATCCAGCTTTGTAGTTTGGTGGCATAACAATCACACTGTTAATGCCTTTGCATTTTTCTCTTGTACCACTTGAGGATGTTTTTCCATTGCCCATTTAAGGAAAACAAAAATGATTGCTAGTAGTTCACTTTTGTTTGGTATTATATAGATGCTTTCAAAGTATGGGTCTCCTTCTGTAATAGGTTAACAAGGGAATAATAAACAAAGGAATCACACACAGTTTGAAACTCGGGGGAAGCACAAGACAGTAGGAGCCCATAGAGAAGGAGCTGAGATGGGAGCTTAGACTTCTGGTGGCTGCAGAGGGATGGAACACAGGCTAGGGGAAGTTGATGGCAGAGTCCACCAGGCTTGTCTTGCTGTGCAGATCCTGTACCAAGGTAACCGCTGTCAAGGCTAGTGCCAAACCCATAATCCCTTTCTTAGGCAGAAAGGGAAATATCAGATGGAAAATCCTGCTCTTGTAAATCAATCCATCAATAAATAAATTTCTTTTTACATAAGAACAGATTTTCAGAGCTATTCCGTATCTTCAGAGGTCTGAAAACCAAACTCTAAATTTGCAAAAAATGTTTGGGTCGTGATATTTTAGAGATATATTTGGGTGGGATATCTTTAGTTCAACCCAAAAATGGTCAATTTTGAGTTTTGATGGGATTGAATTTATATGTGTGTGTGTTTTCTACTTTTTTTATTTAATAAGTCTTTCTCTGATCTCAAGTCAGATATTCTGTATCATATTCAGTCAACTTTATAGTCTTATTATTCCCATTTAGATCTTTATCCCAGTATGGACCGTTCTTTATAAGAAGCCTTATGAAAGTAGAGTTTTGTCTTCATATAATGAATCAGTTGTACCCACGTTATCTCTAAATGCATCCATTTTCCATTGGCTTATGTCACACCTTTATTTCATCTACCATTTTCTCAAATAGTAGATGCCTCTCTTTCTGAACTGTGTGCTATTCTGGACTATGTGGTTGAAGCTAGAAGCTTAGAACTCTGTTGGCAGATGCCCAGGTGCTTTGGCCATCATCCACTGCTTTCCCAGGCACATTAGCAGGAAGAAGGGTTGAAAAAGGAGCAGCCCAGATTCAAGAGCCACTCCAGTATAAGATGCTAGCATTGCAAGCAGAAGCTTAACCTGGTGGGTGACATCAGCATCTGTACTCATTGGTTCTTAATTCCTAAATAGATTTGATGTGTTTATATTTCTGCTGTGAAGTGTAGCTATGTGTTGAGGAAAACAAAAGTACATACTGTGTCAGATTATTAGGAGAATTTTAAATATTAACATTTGCTCAGTTCCTAGATTACTAACCAAAAAATAGCATGTACTACGCAAGTATCTGCATTATGATGAATGAAATTCATAGGTTAATATCAGATCCAGGCACCTTGTTGAGCTCTTTTGTTAACTCCAATAGTTTATGTTTGTGTTTTTAACTAGATGGACATATCATCTACACATTAATAGTTTTTTTTTCTTCCAGTTCTTTTTTTAAGATTTATTTATTTTTATTACAAAGTCATATATACAGAGAGGAGGAGAGACAGAGAGGAAGATCTTCCATCTGATGGTTCACTCCCCAAGTGGCCACAACAGCCGGTGCTGTGCCGATCTGGAGCCAGGAGCCAGGAGCCAGGAGCCAGGAACTTCCTCCAAGTCTCCCCCATGGGTGCAGGGTCCCAGGGCTCTGGGCCGTCCTCAACTGCTTTCCCAGGCCACAAGCAGGGAGCTGGATGGGAAGTGGAGCTACTGGGATTAGAACTGGAGCCCATATGGATCCCGGCATGTTTAAGGCAAGGACTTTAGCCACTAGGCCACGCTGCCAGGCCCTCTTCCAGTTCTTAAATCTGTCTTTTTTTTTTTTTTTTTGAGTAAGACTTTCAGTCCTCTTTCACTATCAGTCATCATACTCATCCTTACCTGATCTAACTTTTAAAAAATTTTTTAGGGAAATTTTTTATTTAAAGATTTATTTTTTTTTTCCTTTGGAAAAACAGTTATACAAAGAGGAGGAGAGACAAACAGGAAGATCTTCCATCTGCTAATTCAATCCCTAAGTGGCCGCAACAGTCAGAGCTGAGCTGATCCAAAACCAGGATCCAGAGGCCTCTTCCAGGTCTCTCACACAGGTACAGGGTCCCAAGACTTTGGACCACCCTTGACTCCCTCCCAGGCCACAATTAGGGAGCTGGATGGGAAGCAGGGCCAACGGGACATGAACCTGCGCCCATGTGAGATCCTAACTTGTGCAAGGCAAGAACTAGCCACTAGTCTACTGTACCAGACCCACCCAATTTCACTTTTAAAAGAAAAATTTTCACTTAGGCTAATATTTGCGTAAAACTTGGGGGAGATAACTTTTACCAAAATGTAAAGTACTCTTTCTAGTTTGCAAAGATTTTTTTAAGATGCAGTTATTTACTTGAAAGAGTTACAGAGTAAGAGACAGAGAGAGGTCTTCTATCTCCTGGTTCACTCCCCAAATAGCCACAAAGGCTGGAACTAGGCTTGTCCAGAGGCAGGAGCTCCTTCCACCTTAGTACAGGCTTTGCTGCTTCCCAAGAACGTTAGTAGGGAACTGAGCCAAATGGAACTGCCAGGATTAGAACCAGTGCCCACATAAAATGCTAGCACCTCAGGCAGTAGCTTCACTGGCTAAACCATAGCACTGATCTCCTGAATGTTTTGTTTTTTTAAGCCTAAGAAAGTATTGATCAAGAACTAATAAATATCCACAGTTAATAAAACTATCTCTTTTTCTTTAGTTTTGATAATTTTATATTCTAAAGTTGACCTGTTCTTGCTCTCCTGGGATAATCTACTTCATTATAATGGTCTTTGTTTTTGTTAGAATCCATTAATATTTAGAATTCTTCTAAGTGAGATGCACCTCTGCTTACCCAATTCGTCTCTGGATTCAGAATTAATTTTTTTTTATTTTCCTTGTAAAAGGAGTTGATTGGTTTCCTTGTTGTTTGTTTCTTTCAAATAGCTTATGTAAATGGTTCACATGATCACAAACTAGGGAGCCCAGCAGGAATGTTAGCATGTAGCAGCCCTGCCATCTGGCAGGCCCCGAACCCAACCAGCCAACACACCTGAAAGTTACAGAAAAGGAATTCCTTTTATAGCTCTTGGGAGCTTGTGAGCATAAGAGGTCTACCTACATTTGCAGAAGTAAATTTTGGGCTAAAACTGCACATTTAAAACACATTGTCGGGCCCGGCGGCATGGCCTAGTGGCTAAAGTCCTCACCTTGAGCACGCTGGGATCCATATGGGCTCCAGTTCTAATCCCAGTAGCTCCACTTCCCATCCAGCTCCCTGCTTGTGGCCTGGGAAAGCAGTTGAGGACAGCCCAGAGCCCTGGGACCCTGCACCCATGGGGGAGACTTGGAGGAAGTTCCTGGCTCCTGGCTCCTGGCTCCTGGCTCCAGATCGGCACAGCACCGGCTGTTGTGGCCACTTGGGGAGTGAACCATCAGATGGAAGATCTTCCTCTCTGTCTCTCCTCCTCTCTGTATATCTGACTTTGTAATAAAAATAAATAAATCTTAAAAAAAAAACACATTATCCCAGTTATATAAAACAAATTATAAAAATGGCTCCCAAACTTTGCCTCCCAATTTTATGAGTATTCCTTACAGGAACATCGGTCTTCACTGATGAGAAAGGGGGAATGTTTGAAGGCTTCAGGGTCACCATCCATGCTTTTAGGTAGCGTGCAGTTAGGTGGACAGTTACATTACCCAGTGTTTTCAGGCTTTAATATCGTATCTCTAGTCTTCTCATTCACAGGTTAAGGCCACCCTTCCAGATAGCCCATCCACTTAACTCATCCATTCCCAAGGATGTGTGCGTCACCTATTGAAAACATTGGATCTTTGCACACCAGATATCCCTGACAGCTCATCTCATCACCCCTGCAGCCAAGTTTCTTTACCAGCGGACAACCAAGGCAACTATCAAGCTTGCTCTTCACGACCAAGTGTGTAGACTGTCCCTGCCAACAAAAACAGTACACAGAGCTTCCCTTCACATTACCACTGATCATTCAGATGGCACTAAGAAAATCAGCTTGTCTAAATGTGAGCCCTTCCCTTGTTGGGTAGCAAGGATTTGAAGGAGATAACTCTGGAATCTGTGTCACTGGTAAATGACTGGCACTTTTACACACTACACTGGTCTTGAGGACTGAGATGTCCGGCTTTGTAAGTGAAGATTATACAACATAACCTTGAAGAACAACACAGTAGTGTGGGCCAGTGGCAGACTTGTGTGTGTAATGGACTGAGAGACAAATTGCTCTTGGTGAAAAGATTTTCTGTCTGTTTTTTATTTGCCAGTGTTTGTGTTTGCTGGCTTAGGTTGTTGCCTTTCCTGGTTCCTTGCTCTGTTTTGTTGTAATGGGTCCCAGAAATCCATCTCCTGACCCCTTATCAGAATCAGAAAGTGAGGAAGAAGAAAACTTTGGCTATTTCGATGAGAATTCTGGGGAAGAATGGGACTCCTCTGAAGAAGAGGACCCTGTAGTTCCCAACCTAACGCCTCTTGAGAGCCTTGCCTGGCAAGTCAAGTGCCTTTTAAAATATTCTACAACTTGGAAACCTTTAAATCCCAATTCCTGGTTATATCACGCTAAACTCTTGGATCCAAGCACACCAGTCCATATACTTCGAGAGATAGGTCTAAGACTCTCTCATTGTTCCCATTGTGTTCCCAAACTGGAACCAATTCCTGAGTGGCCCCCTCTGGCCTCTTGTGGAGTGCCACCTTTTCAAAAGCCCCTTTCAAGTCCCAGCCGGCTCTCACGAGATCATGCCACTCTCAATGGAGCACTGCAGTTTGCCACCAAACAGTTAAGCCGAACATTGAGTAGAGCCACTCCCATCCCCGAGTACCTAAAACAGATCCCCAACTCCTGTGTTTCTGGTTGTTGTTGTGGCTGGCTAACTAAAACAGTGAAAGAAACAACCCGTACTGAACCCATCAACACTACGTACTCCTACACTGACTTCCAAAAGGCAGTTAACAAACTTTTAACAGCATCACTCTGAAGATCTACCATTGGATCATCTCTCTTTGATATAGCTAAGAAAGAAGTGGGTGAGAATGTTAATCATTAGGCAGCCCACAGTTGAAAAGCTAATGTTTTCTCAACTGACCTATGCCATGCTATAGCTTACCCAGGTACTGCTGTATATTGAATGTGCCCGAGATCCTGTAATTCACCTGTATAAAATATGCGTTGTGAGCATACTGTGAAAGATCCTATGGATGAAATGAGAATTTTGATGGAGAATTACTCGAAAAAGATTTTATAACAGATGACTATTCTTTATTGTCAATATTTACCTTCTCCCCAGTTTACTGTGTCTATATGAATGGACTTTAAGTAGATACCTAATTTATTAACAAGAAGGAAAACAAACTTCCTTTTTGTTTCCCATCAGTCATAACTGCCATTGTGGAAAGCAAGAAGTTAACAACACCTAGCAAAATCTTTGGAAACATAGTCCTCTGCGAAACTGATTTCTAGGGAGGTGAATAATGAGGCAAATGATGGGAATACAGATCTCTCCTGGCTTTTCAATAAGTATGCTGACATAATACCATTTAAGGGTTTCTATTTTTGAGGGTGTGCAGTTTCAAACCTAGATACACTACTCCAGATGTGATTATGATACCTACTATTGCACTGATCATTCAGAATTAGAGTCCCACTACGTTTTTTTTTTTTCAGTCCACTATGTATTTAGCTAAGTGGCCTGAAACAACATCCCTTGGAGTTGAACAGAAACCTGTTCTGTAGGAAGTGGTTCCTAAATCTTGGCTTGTAGATATTCAAGTATAAATAAACTACATTGCCCAGGATGAATAGGAAAAGAGTAGGAGAACATTTATGCTTTCGCTATCAGCCATTAATAGATTAAAGTATTTTATCTGTAGAACATTTCCTGGAGTCATTTATGCACTTTCTACATCCATTGCAACATTTTCAGGAATCAAAACTCTGAGGAAAAATAGCTCATACATCCTGAAGTAAAGAGTTATAGCAGCTTTGTTTTCCTAAGTAGATTAGCTTTAGCTTTTCTTCTGGCTAAAGGTACTCTTGTCAGTGAGTCTTAGGAGTATGAGCAGTACATGAGGCCGTTAAGTCAATGAGACATTCTCCAGTGAAAACCTGTGTGTGGTGCCTCTTGACTGGACATCTAATGAGAATCAAACAGTTACAGCAGAGCAGTGGACACAGGCCATGTTGTAAAAGGAGAATATGGCAGCTCATTTGATGCCGATGTAAAAGAAGAACAGAACAAACTAGACAACTACCCCAGTCAAATGGTGACAGCAAAAAATCTCAGTGAATGGAGACTTGAGACTTACTGTATCAGCCAATAGACATTAGGATGGTGACATCATCCTTGGATTGGTGAAATCAACAGCAATCCTGAACTATCCAAACCACTTGGGCAGAACCCTTGGAATATGCACACATTGGGAGCCTAGGTTGACACTGATTGTAAAGCTAGGTTGCAATAGTTCCTTATGCTTGGGTACTGGGATGTTTGGAAAGTCATGGGTGACTTTACCCTTTATCTTTTCCCCTTTCCCCCAAAACAAGAAGAAATAGCAAAATTGGAAACAGTTTTCTCTAAACCTCGATCCTTCCCACCCTGATCAACCATGTAATCATTATAAAAAATAAAATGAATTAAAAACAGATTGTTAAAAGTATATAATATATCCCTTTATTTTATTTTTGCTTTTTCCTGTTTTCCCTAATTAACTGCTATTTGCAAAGTGGTATTAAAAAGTTTAAGCATTGATGGGATCACAAGTTCTTTAAGTGTGTAACAGTTTTAAGGAGAGAAGAATGTTTATAACCTGATGCATATTCCTGCTCTGCCTTAGTTTTTCTGTCTTAAGGAAAAAGAAGGGTGTTAAGTAGAAACATATATATATATATATACACACACACACACACATATATATATATATGTTAGTGGAAATCATTGACCTGAAGCTATATCATGTTGTTAGTCTAACTGAATGTAATGAATTTAATATGAAAGTGTTGCGTGAAGTTGGTTTTGGTTTTTAAAATGTCACAAGAACCTGTCTTTGTTTTTGCCGGGGGTAGGGGTTATGATGGGAGGAGATAGAGGAGTAATTTGAAAATTAAAATATATTGATGTTTATGTACTATGATAATCCTTTTCCTCTGTGTGCATATAAAAGTGCCTTGCTTATGAATGAATGCATTTTCTATTCACTCCAAAAAGAAGGCTTCCTCCAGAGCAGCAGCTGAATAAACAGCAGCTTTCTATATGCTGAATGAGTATTGTCATTTGTTTTTAACAGATGAAACAGCCTACGATGCTTGCAGCATGTTGAACACTCACATAGCACTGAATAAATAACTAAGGCACCTATGTAGTATCTGATAAGTGATTTGACATCTTCAGAAAAGAAATACACTTGAAATGTTTCATATGACCAAGAGCTAAAGTTCTTTCGATAATGCCGTGTTGCACAAAATGATAGATACCTGAATAATTCTTACCACATGTGAGTGCAGGGTCCTGAGGCTTTGGGCCATCCTCGACTGCTTTCCCAGGCCACAAGCAGAGAGCTGGATGAGAAGCGGGGCCACCGGGACACAAACCCATGCCCAAATGGGATCCCAGCATGAGCAAGGAAAGAACTTCAGCCGCTAGGCTACCATGCAAGGTCCTACCTGAATAATTCTTAAGCTACTTTCTGTGTATCACACATGTCAGTGATTAACTACTTTCACAGTCTTCCTGTATAGGTCACTGAAATGCAGACACCATAATTAGCATAGAAAAGTGAATTTGCTTTCTGATGATAGAAATCGTTGTCAAAGGAGTGAGGAAATAATTCCCAGACTAGTGATCATTAATATTACCTAAAGGTGTTTTCTTTTATCTTGGTATGGACAGGCAGCCTTTTTATTGAAGCAGCCTGGATAGCTGATGGTATGTGTTTTAGTCCCTTCTGCTTCTTAAGAAAAAGAAAAAATCCATGCTAGGAGGATGGTAAATGGTGAGGCCCATATAGTTAGTTTTCCTACTGGAGTTCCTGTTACACCTATACATCTTTAAAAGTATGAGGAAAACAATGCTTTGCTATTAAATTATTAAAGCAGATAACTGATGTCACATAGAGGGTTGCATAAGTTGTCTTGCATAAATGGCTTTCTACATTTGGCTCCAGCGTTTTGAGAACTCATGTCTTTTGAAATCACCCATTAATTTTTAAATATCTCTTGATATAAATGTAGTCATTCATCCAACAGTGTGGAGAACTGCTAACTATAGGCCAGACCCTGGGACTGCAAAACAATATATAACACATAGGCAATTTTTTAAAGATTTATTTTATTTGAAAGGCAGAATTACAGAGAGGTAAAGGTCTTCCGTCTATTGCTTTGTTCCCCAAATGGCATAACAACCAGGGCTCTGCTAAACCAAAGCCTGGAGCGTCTTCTGAGTCTCCCACGTGGTACAGGGGCCTGAGCACTTGGGCCTTCTTCTGATGCTTTCCCCAAATCATTAACAGTGAGCTTGACCGGAAGTAGAGTAGCCAGTAATCAAACTGATGCCCATATGCGATGTCAGCACTGCAGCTGGTGCTTAACGAGTTATACCACCTCACCAGCCCCTGCAATTTCATTTTAAACATATGAACCAATTTTCATGACTCCCAAGCCATTTCTGCTCTCTAGAGTCACTTTATATGTATCAAATTCAAGATGATAAAAGCTGGAGGTGTATTTACTCAGATGGCTAGTGTTCATAGGAAGGCCCAGAAGGTTTGAATAATTTCTCAGACTTAGTGAAACAACTTTGTTCACGCTGCTGGCATATTAGTCCATCAGTGAAACCGTATCTACTATTTGGCTGGAGATGGAGCTACACTGGCATCAGCCACTAGATAGTTTGTGCTACCTTGCATTGTCAAAAGGAAAATCTGATGTCTATATTAGACTACTCTAAGCACAATTTAGTGGCTACATATTTGGAATCTGATCATTGATTGCATTCTCCCAACTTTTCAATTGGTGGCAGCAGTGAGATTAAAGTTGGGAATGAAATTAAGAATAATAATATGCTGACCTGACTTTCACTACCCACTTCCTGTGAGCTGGAAGAGCTATAACTAGGTCTTCTGAAAGACATAACTGATTAAAAAAAAAAAATAGTAGGAAGACCACATCAAGATTGTTGCTTCTAATGTGGAGTCCAGTTCATATTAGCAAGTTAGGATTGGATCATAGTACTTTAATTTGGAACTTGGGCAGTTTATTTGAGAGATGACTGGCATATGATATGAAAACTACTCAGATCATTTGTGGAATAAAATGCTGTGTAACCAGTAATCATCTGGAAAGAGACTCAGAACCTTGTCAGTCTAACAGATATAAACTGAGTCCGTAGTACCTACACAAGCTAAGCTAATGAGCTATCAGCCTAGACTGCCATAGAAACAGGATGAAGCAATGTTTAAATGAGTATTGCAATTAGTAAATGGAGGAGCTGGTAGTTATCTGCTTTTTTCAGAGAAAATGATTATGTTCGGGTTAATTGTTAAGCCCATTCCTAGTAGTACCCTTTCATCTATGTTATCAGCTGTGACAAGCCGACATATCGAGTGATGTTTTTCCAGCAGTCCATTCAGAGCAGCTTCATTGGGGGATACCTCCAGATTGGAGTACTCTAGGGTTGCAGCCATCTTCCTTCAGAAAAGATCCTGGATTGGTTCTGAGTGTACTTTGAGTAATCAGAATGGCTTAACAGAGTAGAAAAACTGATGACACATTTGAGGGCTCACTTAGAGAACCCGTATGCATTGAAAGCCAGCTAGCTTAACATTGACTGCAACCAGTCAATTCTGTGAGGAATTTTCACAAAGTGTGTTCTGTTGTGTAGGCCCTTGGATCCTCCCCTGGCACTGAAGTAGACTTGTCCATGCTTTTGTTCAAAGTCCAGTTCTTTGCTTTGAACCCAGGTTTATAATTTTTTTCCCGCATTCTACTTAGAACAGTTTTCTTTAAACATGATGGAATACCAGATTTAGCAAATTAAAATACACAACACTCAGATAAATTTGAATTTTAGATAATGAAACGAAACATATACCCCCGAAGTTATCATTGATCAGAAATTCAAATTTAATTGGCTCCAAACCTGCAGTTGTGTTTGCAGCATTAATTAAGCTTGGTTTGAAGTCAGATAGATGTTTCTGTGAAACATTCTGCTGCTACATTATGTGTCCTTACCTCTAAATCCTTGAGTGGGAGAGTGGGAGGCTCACATATAATTGGCCCAAGGTTAAAACTATTGCTGAGTGGTAAAGGAAGAGCTCAATGGTAGACAATGAATCTTTCATGCCAACTCCACAACCATTATATTTCCATACATAAATCTAAAATGATATCTCTGGTGGGTAGTATGAATTTATCTCTCTGTGTTTTTTTAGGCAGTTACTTTTCCTTTGCTACAAAGAGGAACATTAAGAGTATTGCTCTTTTTTAAAAAAATACCTGCCAGGTCGCATAGTTCTGGCAGCCATGCTTCACTGAAGAAAAGGTCCATAAATTGAGAACACCTATCTATGCCTTTCAGAACTCCGAAAAGACTAAAGAATTTGGAGACTCAAGATCACCTGGAAGGTGGGCAATAAGAGCATATTGAAAACAAATGAATTATTTGAAAATTTGTTTTTGCCCTCTGTTTCCTGAATCTGTAGCAAATACTAAGCAGTTATTCTCTGGAGTCCAGCACGGTAACCTAGTGGCTAAAATCCTCACCTTGCGTGCACCAGGGTCTCATAGGCACTAGTTGGTGTCCTAACTGCTGCACTTCCCACCCAACTCCCTGCTTGTGGCCTGGGAAAGCAGTAGAGGATATCCTAAAGCCTTGGTACCCTGCACTCACCTGGGAGACCTGGAAGAAACTCCTGGCTCCTGGCTTTGGATCACCTCAACTCCAGCTGTTATGGCCACTTGGAAAGTCATCTTTGTCTCTCCTTCTGTCTGTAAATCTGACTTTCCAATAAAAATGAATCTTAAAGAGTTAGCCTCTTGAGAAATCCAGCCAAACAACTGGGGAGCTGGGGAAGTGTTAAGTGATGGTGTTAAGTGATGTGCTACATAGAAGTGGATGACTGAGAATCATCAGTATGTCAGCATTCTGAACATTGTGGGCCTCCAGTATATAGGCTGCAGAATGTAGCCAACTGAGCTAGAGCCTCAGCCTACCTTTCTCCCCCTACCCAAGACAAAAATGAACAATGAAATAAACATCTTGATGTGTATTTGTTAGAGTAAAACCTAGAGTCCACAAAACCTGTTCATTCACAGATTTCAGTCACTTGAAATCACTATATTGTGATAACCAAGAATGA